ATCAAATCCCATAATTTTTTCCTGAGAACGTAAATGGTAGGCATTTAAGTTAAAACCTAATGATTTAATGTGACCAAATGCAGAGAAGTGAAGCACCAAAAGTGATCAGATGACCAAATGCGACACAGTGCTAATGTGCTGTGTCTTGATGCAAAATGGATTGACGCTGCGTATACAGATGACGTGTGACGTGACGTCACAAGGCCACGTGTGTCACGTATTTCACTTTGCGTGGCCGTCATTTTTCATCCCAGTAGTTTATCGCATCACATGAGGCACCCAATGTGTTGTCGTATACGTCGTGTTACATCAAAAAGAGTCCGCCAGCAAGTAGCAGAACACGACAAATATGGCACAGATACGTGACGTGGCGTATGTACATAACATACGCAATATGTTCTGGCACAATAACACGGTGTGACATGGCAAAGTGGACGAGTAACCTAGGAAGATCGCCCTCTTGGAGAGGTTGAAGCAAGTGGGTCGTCGAAGCAAACGCAGAAGAAATTTTGGACTGCATTTTTTCAAACAAGCCTGGACCATGAAGACTGACAATAAAAACTAATAACCAGGAAGAATCAAAAGAGCTTTTGAGTGGGACTTGCTTAGAATGATACTCGTTTTCCGAAAAAAAAAAAGTCTAGAATGGTAATTACGAAATGCGACTTGCCCTTGCAGATCTCGGGCAGTGGTTCACACTAAGTCATCTTGGCTATTTCAAAAATTAGTACCTTGCAAAGGCGATTGGGTATAAAGAAAATCAAACCAGCTGATAAATTGGAATTTTCTCGACTATACGGGACACTGCTGACAGATGCACCTGGAGGGCACTGTATGTTCGTTCCGTAACGACCTGATGCATTTCCGGATTGCTGGTGCTGTGGATCCTGCATGGGCAATGCCGACATTGATCGTTGGTGGTGATAAGAAGGCCCCTTCGAAGTGTACCCGTTGGGATAGCCCGGTTCCTGCAAAACAACCTCATCATCACTCGTTTTCCCACCCCTTGCGCTCATGACCAGTCCTTTGTTTCCGTTCGAATTTCAAAATTTTGATGACTTTTGCACTAACATATTTCACCATGAAGTTCATTTTAAGAAGACGATGAACAAGCTCTTGAAGTTTACCCCGAGAATTCTGGATAGGTATGCTGCGTGGAACAAAAGCACATCGAAAATGAGGTCCCACAGATCGGATGTTTTATTCGTCAAGAGGCAAAAAGAAAGAAAACGGAAGTGAGTGCAATTTACCTGATAATTACTGCCGGAGGAGTTACTCTGGAGGGTGGACGAAGTCGTCGGTGTTGACGTTCTCGCACCGCTTGAAAAAGCACTTAGAAGTCGTATCTTTTGTTGAAGAATTTTCTGACAAGCTGAAAATACATACACACGTGAGGCAATTATAAAGTCAGCAACAACAATTATTATTTTAAACAATAATAATGATGGTGACAATGATGATAACAATGATTGTAAGGGTGATTATCCGTGGCAGCTGTCATCGCAAGGCATGCTTATTCACAGAAACTGCTCAATCACTGCTGCCACCTATGACACATCCATCAATCAGTTTTTATTATCAACATTATTTTCCATTAAAAATGAAAAAAAAAAAAAAAACGTATATATCTTTAAAAACTAATGATTCGGGGATACTCTGAACTATTTGCACACTCACGCTTGCACCGGAGGGTAAGATTTTGCGCGTACATCTTTTCGCTTAATAGACCAAATTTTAAGGAACAAAAAGAATATCGTCACGACTGCCACCAGAATTACCACCAGACGATAGAGCATTGATCAAAGCAAGTAGAAAAGCTGTCAGCCGGATTAACAGAGAACCAGATTTCTTCGCTGTGCTTTTGTGTCTTTTGTTTTCCGCTTTTTATGTACCAAGCGCATGACATGTTATGTATGTTAGTATATCGTATATATGTGTCCTGCTTGGCGATTGAATAAAATATGAAATGTGAAATTACAAGTTTCAAGTATTCAAGTCTTCTGTACATGGAGCTTTCAGAGAGCAATTTTCAACATAATTTTGTGATTCAGAAACCAAAAGAAACTATGAATTTGATACCTTAGAAGTCAAAATAGACGTGTGGGCCTGCACTACTTCCAATCTAGGTTTCTGATTTCACGTAGACCTTTCCCCCTCAGAAATGAAGTTGATATTACAATGTCAAAATGGGTGAAAGCTACAAATTCGAGTAGTAAAAAGATTATAGGATAAATAGAGCCATTTCTTGCTGCCATCTCTGCGCTACTAGCCAAACGTGAAAGCAAAAGCAATTAATCAGTACTGCTAACCATTAACAAATCGTAGAGACCAAGCGATTCTTGAAATTCGCCGCGCTATTCAATTGACGCTAACACTAACTAAGTATGAATGAGAAATAGCCATAAATATGAGATAATAATAGACGAATCTGAATGCAGTGTGCGGCTGTATTCGCAAACATTTCAAATTAACTTATCGAAAAATTTAAATTTACCGCATCCTTCCTCCCATCCTTGTCCCCACTGCAGTCGTTCCATTAACTAGTGGAAACATACGAGAAAGGAAGCAGAGAGATAGGAAGCAAATGAAAGTGAAAACTAAAAGTTGAATTCAGAGGAATTTCAGAGAAACCCTTTTTTCCAGAGACCTCCCAAATTCAGAGGAACCCTCGAAAGAGAGAATCATTGACAGTCTGGATAACAGATGGTTGCTGCTGACATATATTACCATTCGAGTACTTCGTAAAGAATGAACACGGAGAGGGCTTTAACTTCTGCTGAGCGATGGAAACAAAAGAAATTAACTCCTATGAAACAAGCCGCTGAAAAAAAAGACTGCTTATGTTTCCCACACATTCGAGGATTGCTTTAGAAGTAAACTGATGGCAATAATCATGGAAATTAGAAGCCCAAAAGAC